GGCCGCGTGCCAGCGGCCTCGGGCGGGGCTGGGTCTCGGTGAGCCCGGCCGCCTGTCAGACCTGGCCCGGGTGCCACCACCCACCCAACCTCAGGGACACGTAGGCAGGGACGCCCATCTCTGCCTCTTCCGCCCCTCCGCCCGCCCACCGTGGCACACAGGAACCCACCACAGCCACAACCACACTAGGTCCCCTCGGATCAGCACACACCCCTGCTCTCACCCTCGGGTCTCACCCACAGTCGGGAGGCTATACTAAGAGGTCTTAAGTGTGAAGCACTTGTCACTGTACACTTGTCACTGTCCGAAGGGGCAGAAACACCTGGCTCGAAGCCAGTGAAACCAGAGGGGGTGAACCAGAGGCCTCGAAGGTATGTGGGCCAGGCCCAATGGGGCAAGATGTCTGGGGCCCCCAGCTGTTGCCCAACTTCACATCCTGGCTGTGTGCCTGGGCAGGTGTTGGTGCACCAGGTACTCGCTGATGGCCGCCTGCCTGCCTCCTTCACTGCTGGAACCGTGTTGGGGGCCCTGGGGAGACCACAGAAGCACAAGCACGCAGCTCTCCAGGCTTCGGGAAGTGGGTCAAGGACTTTGAACAGCAACCCTTGGACACAGCCCAAGCCAAGACCCCTGTGCAGTCCATCAAGCCCAGGGCTCCAGTTCCATCCCCCACCTCCAGGCGGCTCCCATCACAGACCACACTCAGCCACCACAACTTCCTTGCAAAAACCCTCAGCTCACCAGAGGGCCAGTGGAAATTTATTTTTTTGTCCTTTCTGTCTTTTCCCCAAGTGGCTTTTCCTTGCAAAATGCCTGACATGACACCAGAGGGGAACCTGGGGGTGTGGGGGGCACCCCAAGGGGCACCCCAGAGGTTTAAATACAAGCTGGAAGGCAGGGCACAGGTGGGACAGGCGAGAGAGACAGCACAAGGGGCATGGCTTCTCAGGTAGAGACCAAAGGTGTGGTTTTTTTTTTGCAGGAAGAAGCTATGTCAGGGGGCCAGGGGCTAGGATCCTGGGTGGGAGGGGGTGAGCAGAGAGGCCCCCAACCCTGGGTTGCACCCACCTTCCCCAGAGGAGAAGTAGCAACAGAGGATGAGGATCTGCCCTGGTAAACTCCAAGGAAGGGGGAGAAAAAGCCGGATGCGCTGCCTCAGAGAAACGGAGGAGGGCTGGCAGAGTGAGGGTTAAGGCTGGTGCCTGGCCTCTGGCACTGTGAGCCTTCCACCTCCGCCTGCCTTGGGGACAAAGGGGCACGGTGGGCAGGCAGCACATGGGCCTGGCACTTGCAGGGCAGGGGGTGGCAAGAGCAGGCTCCCTCTAGGCGTAAGACACAGGCCCAGCTCGGCTGCCCGCCCACCTGCCCTAGATGTGCTCAGACCTCACTGCGGCTGGACAGTTGGAGCTGTGAGTGTGGGAGGGGCGGGAGGAGAGGTAGGGAGGAGGGGAAAGGGTGGGCTGTCGGGGCTCTGCAGCCCCCATGCCCGTCCTGAGGTCTGCTCCCCCGGTCCTATTCTTGGCCCCAGGCACTGACTTCAGCTGGGGCAGTAGAGGCCAGGGAGGCCCTCAGCTCTTGGGGAAGGGATGGGTGGAGGAGAAAAGAAGGGGAAGGGGAGAAACCCACTGCAGCATCCATGGGAGGTGGGGGAGGGAGACAGACGAAGCCCTCATCCCAAAGAAAAATGTATGGTAGGGTCTTTTAAAGTTACCTAGAG